TCATATTTAATTACCAAGAAAAAAAAAATACAAAAAAAAACACAATTATATAAACCTTAATAATAAAAAGAAGAATTTTTTTTTATACCAAACCTGTTGGTATTATTGAAAATACCAAACCTGTTGGTATTTATATATGATACAAAACGGTACACCGATAAACTTAGACCATGCCATAAGTATCCAAAAAAAAAAACAAAAAAAAACAAATATATATATATATATCCAGTTCTCAAATACATGGAGCACGAAAATATAATGCGCAAAGCGCTTTTATTTTTCCTTAGTAATGTTTTTTTTTTTTAATGTTTGTTTGTGTATTTTTCTTATATTTATCATTTTTGACTGTGTTTGGTTTTTTTAAAGCGGAAAGAGAAAATTTAGAACTACCTACCACAGTATATACATATATATATATATATATATATGTATATATATATATTTATATATTTCTTCTTTGAAACATACGTATAACTAATGTATATATATATATATAGTTATACGTATGTTTCAAAGAAGAAAATACTTAACATATACATATGTGTTTCCGATTTTCCACCTAACAGCTTAGCAAATAAATACCAAATAATACTATCCAAACAAAACAACAACAACAACAAAATACCCACACACAAAAAAAGAAAAAAAATTAAACATAAATTATATAAGTGAAAAGCGTATTTAAAAGCATACTTAACTACGGACAGGCTTAATACGCTGTGCTCTACCAGCAAGAGAAAAATAAGTTCGTATTTTTCAAAAGAAGTTTGAAAAATTTAAATAAAATAAAAAAAAAACAGATAAACAGCATTTATTTTGAATAAATGCAAAATATCTAAAACAAAATGCTTAAAACCCAGAAATCAATTAAATGTACATCCCATTTACTGCGAAACGATCTATGTGCATAACCTCAAAAAAATTATAAAAATATAAAAAAATACAAAAAACAAATAGTTAAATTCTGCTAAAAAAAAAAGAAAAGAAAAAGAAAAACAATGAAAAGTAAATATACTTGTAAGCGTTTATAAATGTCATAACTCTTTTTAGTGTGAGCAATTCAAAATGAAACACCCCTACCGGCAGTTATATATACTCCCCATGTATTGGTATTTTATATGGGCACGATTGCAGTTCCATTCCATCTAAAACGAGAAATCCAAACTTGCTAAACTTTATATCAACCGAGTTAACGAAGCGTTCGCTTCATCTGACAGCAAAATACTTTCGCGAATTTAACAAAAACGGCAGCCAAAAGTTAGAAAAAACTTAAAAAATACCAAAAATACCGCTTTTAGTAAAAGAAATTTTAATAAAAAAATACCAACAAGCTACATAGTGCGTATAAGTTTCGAATTGAGTTCGTTTAGGTAGCACTCCAACAATTTATCGTTTCTGTTTGCATGTGCATTGTAGTTGTTGCAAAAACCAGAGAAATACTAAAAAAAAAAAACTTTAAAAAATATACTAAGTTAAGCGAAAAATATTACTGTATTTTTAATTGTTAAGAACAATCCAAAAAACGTTTATTTCACTTGAATGTGCCCTAAAAGAAAAAAAAAAAACAAAATTGACAACTTTTAGTTAACTTTTACAAGGTAATGCTACTAATTTAATATATAACTGTATGAATGTGAATAAATATACATATATAAATATTTATATATATATATATATATATATATTATATAACAAATATATTTAATCGATTTACCTATGATCATGTATATCTATTTAGAAAAATTGCGAGCGTTTTATAAATGTGATAAACTAAAAAACTAAACTAAACAAAACACATAAAAACAAACATTTAATTGCAAATAGAACAACTCTCGAAGTTGCTTAGTTTTCATATTTAGTTTGTCAACATGAGAGAGAGCATATAACTCTCCATATGAGATTTTAAAAAATTTGCATGCTGTGGCCTAAGTTGCTGTTGCTACCCTTTCCGACCCCCCGACCCTCCATTACCAACCACATACTTTGTTGAAGTTCGATATGTAAGTAATCTTGTGCACTTAAAAAACAAACAACATAAAGAAAAAGAAAGGCAAACGCAACCGATAACCTTTGTATTATATGTAATATACTGTGCCAATCCCAAAAACCATGTTAACCCCAAAAAAAAAAAAAAAAAAAAAAAAACACAAAAAAAAACAAAGGAAAAACGTGAAAATTGTACATCTATAAAAAATTTATTTGTTTGTATACATTAGATAGAGGCATAGCCTCTTAGTCAAAAGAAAAAAAAAAAACAAAACTTAAAAAACACAACAAAAAAAGTCCTCAATGTAGGCACATACATATGTATTTACCAGCAAAATTTTGGTTAGCTGCGTTTGCGCTCTCACGCACACAGACACTGCACGCCCTGGCATCTGTATTGGTAACTCGCGGCGAGTGTGCACGGCGACAGCCTTGTCGCGCATGTCTGTGAGCTACGTCTGTGTGCAGGCACGCAAAAGCTTGCAAACCAAAATTTTGGCAATGTAGTAGTGAAATGTGTCAATTTTGTGTTTTGATTTGTTTTGAACTTTCAAATAAGTTTTATTTAGCGTACGTATGCGATTCTAGAGCGAACAATTGTTACAAAGTTAACCCAAGCTGGGGGCCATAATTGATATAGTTTGTATTGTTTCGGTGAAAACCGCACGATAACATAATTAAAATAGTTTCTACTTTTTTTGTCATACAACTACAGGGTACGAGTGCCCGTTGGCGTATGAAGACATGCATAAACAAATTTATGTATGCACTTAATTAATATGATTATTATTATTATGCACTAAATAAAAAAAAAATAACAGCAAGCAACTGTATAAATATTATTATTACGACTACATACAATTATAGTTTAAAAACAATGAAATAAAGAAGAAAGGCAAAAAGAAAAACCCGAACATGAGAAACGAAAATGAAAGTAAAGAAAATGAACTTCTATTTAAAAATGCTGCGTATGAACTTATGATTATATACATACTAAAAAACTATGTAATACACTATTATTATCATTACTATTATTATGATTATTATTTTTAACAATATGTATGTTATCATTTTCAAATTAACTATCATTTATCGATAACTGCACATCGATTGCTCAACAAAAAAAAAAACAAAAAAAAACCCAAAAAATCCTGATAACTGATGTGTCCGCTTTTGCACTACCCATTCACATAATATTTATTTAAACTTTACATCGATATACAATACAAAAAAAAATATAAAACAAATATAAAAAAAAAAAACGTTCCTATTGTTCACACTCTAGACCCTGTTTACATTTTATTTATTCTCTTTGGGCTTTGTTTTTGTTTTCTTATTATTTTTCTCACAAGAAACGAACTCAAAACTCCCTCAGTTAATGCAATTATTCTGATCTTCACTTTAGATCTTAAAGCTTGCTAGGCATTACATTTAATTTTGCTGGCGTATAAAAATATAAGCAAAAGAATATGTAAACTTAGGTGTGTGATTTGATTTATGTTCTATATAAGACATATTAACATCTATATATTGCAAATATTTTAGTTTTAATAAGCATATTTTGAAAAGCAATTTCCTTACTACAAAAATAGAAAATAAAACGAAAGTAGTCACACATATGGTATATATTCTATACATTTATGCATGTATGTATATCTGTATAACAACTAAATGGTCTTTTCTTCTTTTATTTTTTGTAAATGAAGTATGGAAGTATGTTAATTTAATATTGATTTTGATTTTCTGAAACGCAAGAGGGCATTCAAGGTTAGGAAAGAAAAATTAAGCTTAAAACCAAATCGAAAACGAAACAGCAGAATCCTCGCTTGTAATGAAAAAATAAACAAATTCAAATTGTAAAAGATATTTATGAAGTTTGGAAATAAACATTTTCTGATGAAACCCGTTGGCATTAAGTGCGTTTATTATTATTTATTGGTTATGGTGAAATTTTTAAATAAACGTTAAGAAAACGTTTTCCAGCACTATCCGTCGGCTAAAAGGCAGTGTGTTGAATGGTTTGAGAGATCATCATATGTATTTAAAAGTCAATATATATGCAGTTGCTGCCTTTACATGCACAAAAGGTCGTATATTTATTTATTATTCATAAAATATTTACAAAAATGCTAACATATGCATTCTAATTGGAAATTAACAGTCCTTGCGCGCTAGAAAATTCAAAAAGGCTTACACGTAAGAGGAAAGCGCAGCAGCAGCAATATGCAGCCTAATGTTAACGTAATGTTGAGTGAATGGCATTTTTGCGCTAACAGTTACTCTAAATCGCGTCAAGAACGCACAGTGTTAGCTCCTATTGCGTCTACATAACATACAATTCATTACAAAACAACATTCTTTTTAATTGACAAAAAGTTGAGTCTTGAGAAAGTATATAAACAAATATGAACAGAATTTGCCAAATTTTACTACGTCCGAGCTATGCCAGCAATTTGACGACAACGCTACGTACAGTGCCAGCGCTGACACCTACACGACGCTGGTATAGTGCGGACGCAGCCGCTCCGCCGGCCGCATTGGACAAGGACACGCTTGAGAAGCTGGTGCGCACCAACAAGGTGGTCGTTTTTATGAAGGGTAATCCACAAGCGCCGCGCTGCGGCTTCAGCAATGCGGTGGTGCAAATAATGCGCATGCATGGAGTCCCTTACGATGCACACGATGTTCTAGAGAACGAGGCACTCCGCCAGGGTAAGTGGCGCGCTTTGTGTCAACCTATATGGATATATCTAACTGTACACTTTTCCCGGTCTGACATCAGGCATTAAGGACTACACGGATTGGCCAACCATACCGCAGGTGTTTATCAATGGTGAATTTGTCGGGGGCTGTGATATTGTAATGCAGATGCATCAAAACGGCGACCTGATCGAGGAGCTCAAAAAGGTGGGCATTGTCTCGGCACTGCTAAAGGCGGCAGAGGCCAACGACGCAGCGAAAAAGTAACCCCCCAGTCAAGCAAAAATGTTACAAATTAATTGCTAATCACAACGTTCTATTATTAAATGTTTATTTAATATACATAGGTACATATTATTAAATGCATATTGTATATCAAATTGATTTATTTGCACGCCGCTGCTTGCGCTCGTTGGCTGCCCGTTCCCGTTGCTCGCGCTGCTCATCGATCTGCTCCAGCCCAGCCAGAATTTTGATGTGAGCGCCCTGAGCCAAATCTTCAACCTGCAAAAGCTCGCGACATTTTTGCTGTATGTCCGCATTTTGCATGTTCACAACTATCTGCGTCAAGCAGCGCGCTATCGTATTGCGCATCACATCGTCCGACGGCATTGGCGGCGGCGAACGACGGCGTTGGCGTGACCCGCTTGCGGGAGTCTGCTCCGGTTCCAGTTCTCGTTGGTGCTGCTCCTGCTGCTGATCGGCCATCTTGAATACTGGGCTTTAGATTTTGCCGTTTACCGTTGCCTGCAGCAGCTTTTTAGAACTTAACCCATCGCTGGCCGTTGGGTGTGTTTTTCTTCGGTCTCACATATTGTGAGCCAAACTTTTGCCATTTACCGTTGCCTGCTGTCTGCAGTAGCTTATTTCTGGGTGCTTAATCTTGAAACATTGAAGCAATGGTCATTTACCGTTGCGTACGCTGCGTTTAGAACTTAACCCTCTACAGGCCGTTTATATTTTTACATTGTTTCATTTATTTTTAAATATTACAATATATAATATAATACATGTTGATTTAGTTGTTGTTATTTTGTTTTACATACATACATACATGTGTATTTATGTATATTGCTTGAACATAACATTTGTTATTACCGTTATATAAACATTTTTCTTTTGTTTTTCTCTTTGTTTATTAATAATTATTATTGTTGTTTTGTTTCGTTCGATTTGTAGGTAATAAGTTGCTTTTCTTTTTCGAAATAGTTACATACATACATTAAAAAAAAAAACAAAAGGGACTTATGCGATATAACTTGCCTATTAGTAAACAATAATAAAAAGTGTTAAACGCGATATGCCATACAAATATGTATACCTATATATATATATGAACATATATATATGTATATATATATGTGTGTGTGTGTGTAGTTATAAAAAAGTAGATTTGTAATACTTCTAAAGTTCAGCTTTGAAAATAACCAGCAATAGCAATTGGAACAAGGTCCGCCCAGAGCGAGAGTTGTACGTGGGCGCATCGAACAACTCGTTGGAGCGAGTAACGAGTAGCGAGTGGCGAGTGGCGAGTAGCGAGTGGCCAACTACCTTTGCGCAACATTCCAGCACGGCTCATACAATCGACGACTTGTCCAGTATAGACGAGGTGTCCAGGAGCAGCTCGCTGCTGTTGCTCAGAATGTCGTAAAGCTCGTGCGGCGCATCGCCAGCAATGGGGCTGCCAAATGGAAAGAAAGAGGATAGCGTCGATAGCTGCAATGGACCACCATTGACGACATTCAGGCCATTTGCTGAGGAGCCAGGAGCTCCGGCGCCGGTGCCTGGCATCGATTTGCGTCGTCGCTCGACGCCGTCCACATACTCGACGGGCTCCTCTTGCTGCTGCTGCTGCTGGCTGGGTCGCTGCTCGCCCAGCGCATCGTAGTAGGCATCGGGCAGCTCTTCGAAGTTCTGCAGTTCCAGGCAGCGCTGCACCTTGGCAATGTTGCTCAGCAACAGGCGATGAAAGAGATCCACCTGCGGCTGGCCACCGCCTCGTATATCCAGCACGGGCAGCCAACGATAATAGCACTGATCCCACACGGCCAGATCGAGTATGCGATGCGCCGGCTGCAGGTAACGATCCTGCGGCACACTCGATTGCGTGGCAAACAGCTGCGGATTGATGGTGTACCGTGATGGAGAGGCTGTCCCTGAGGCTGCACCTGCGACGCCGCCGCCGGCAGCCGACGCCAACAGCTTGTGGCCGCCCACAGCCAAGGAGCGCCGATGGTTTTGGGTGGCAACCAGATCGCCACGCTGTCGCTGGTACAGCGGATTGCTAAAGAACATCTTGTCCTTGTCGGAGAACTGCTCGCCCCAGTCCCAGACGGGCCGCAAAACCAGACGCCCCTCGTTAACGGCTCGCGTCCGCTGCGCCTGGCTATCGAACTGGAAGGTGTCAAAGATGGGCATAAAGCAGGCATCCCACAGCGTTGTCAGATACGTTTGCGAGAACTCGAACTCATCCGGGAACTGCTGCAAAAGCTGCCACACGCAATCCAGATAGAGCAAAAAGATGGGACTCTGTTCGCTGTCCGGCGCCTGTTCGCCGGTTGACACATACACATGACCGAGCCGCCTCTGGAACGGATGCTCCAAGGCCACCCATTCCTTCTGCACCAGCGACTGAAAGCCATCGATGGTGCGAAAATGCGGATCGAGCAGCAGCTGCGTCAGGCTGCTGATCACACAGCACAGATCCCGGCCATTCGACTCCTGCAGCACACAGGTTATTGAGGCGCGCAACGTGGCAGCCGCCTCGGAGGCATGCCGCAGGCAGAGCGAGACATACAGCAGCCAATTGGTCTTCTCGAGCAGGCCCAGATATTTGTCGTCCTGCAGCATGAATTTCTCGGGCGTTTCGGGCGTGCACAGACGTCGCAGCTTTTGATAGGCGCGCTGCACATCCTGTATGCTGGGCAGCTGGTCGGTCAGCTGGAACAGCTTCAGCTGCTTGCGCTCATCACACTTGCGCACCAGCTCCAGCATAATGTTCTCCATTTTGGTATCCTGCTGCGAGGCTGGCTGCAGCTCCGCCAGCCGCACCAGCGAGGCGGCGCTGCTGCCATAGCTGTAGACCCAGAAGGCGGCGCGTGAATCGCAAAAGGCAAACGATAGCTGCAGGAAACGCTCCACCTCACAGCACTTGGGTATGACAAAGTGAGGCGGCAGCTGGTACTTGCCCGCCTGCAGTCGATTCTGCAGCTGGGGCACGGCGCTGGCGCTGATCACCTGCCACTCGCTGGCGCCGCAGCGTATCAGCTCGCGCGCCCAATCGTTCTTGCTGGCGTACATGCTGACGCCGACCAGCGTGGAATAGTAGGGCTCACGATAGGCGTACGCAAAGCTAAGATCATGCCGCATCGGGTAGGCGAAACGTGCCAGCGCCGAGGCAATCAGTTTGCCATAATCGCTGGCGCCGCTCAGCTTCGAGTCCTGCTGCTGGAACGCGAACTTGAGCAGGCGCAAGTTCTTGCAGATAATGTGAAGTGCCACGATGCGACCGTTGATGTTGTGCTGCTTGGCGGGCTCCAGCTTTTTGCGCCGGCTGCTCGTGCTGGCCATGCGCGCCGCCTGCAGCGCACTCGCCGCCCGCCCCTGCTCCGCAATCGTATAGATCTGATCGATATTATTGAGCGTCACCTCGTTGCGGCCCAAATACGCATTCTCCTGGTACAGATCGCTGGCCAGCGGCGCCGACAGCGTTGCGCGCGCATGCAGCGGCACAAAGGCCAGCTTGAAATTGGTCACGCTGAGCAGGCCAAAGGTGGCCTCCTTGTGGCTGCTTCTGCTCCTGCCCACGCTGTTGTTGCCATTGCTGTTATTGCTATTGTTGCTCTGGCTATTGTTGCCAGTTCCTGTGCTGTTGCTGCTCCCGCTCCCGCTGCCGCTCCCATTGCCACTGCCACTCCCACTGGAGCTGCTGCTGCTCTCCATGGGCGCAATCGGCGAGTACATGTAGGCGGGCGCAGAGGCGACTATCTGCTCGCCTGCCAGCAGTCGGGGCTTGGCCAAATGCACATCACGCAAATCACTGGGCAGGCACCATTCGTTCGTATCCGCTGTGGCGCGCACATCCCCAGCCATGGGCGCCACGTAGCTGGTGAAGGTGTTGCGCTTCCGATGGTCTGGCATATCGTTGCTGCCAGTGGCCATCCTCAGCCACTGCTTGTAGTTGCTGCTATTGTTGCTGCTGTTGTTGTTGTTGTTGTAGCTACTGTTGCTGCTTGGCTCGGCCAGGGCGAAAATTTTGTGGCTTCAATATGGTCGCACGTACTTTGAATATATAATTATTTCTTATTTCCTGTCTGCGTCTGAGTCGCTGTTGTTGTTGTTGCTGTTGTTTCTTTTGCTGTGGGCGCACACTGTGCAGCTGCCTGTTAACCGTTAGTTAATGCCGCCTCCAATGGTTGGCAAACTGTATGTGGCCGCAGCATAAACACATGAAAAAGGAACAACAAAAGCATTAGATAGTTGATTGTGCATATGTGTGCATGCATGTGTGTGTGTGTGTGAGTGCACGCACACAGTACTCAGCCGAACGCACACAAATGAGCATAAACATAGCGAGCATATAGACAAAATTAGAATTATCGTCGATTTTGATAAGTTTATCAGTTGCGCTTACCTATTTGATTTTTGATTTTTGCTGTTTTTGTATTGCTCGCGTGTTAGTATTGTTGCTGTTGGTATTTAGCGAGCAAACGTGTGTGTATTAATTTGTCATCTTTGTGCATCATCTATCAGCACACACATGCACGCATATAAAGGCATTTATTTATTTATTATTTTCGTTGTCGCCATAAATATATATATACATACATATATATAAATATATATACATACATATATATACCTATATATGTTGGCCACTAACACACGCACTCATGCACACTCATTGCATGTCATAAATAGCTATCGTTATCGTCCAATTACTTTGCCATGAAAGACAGCTGATCTTAGTGCTGGCACTTAAAGTGTTTAACAACACTTACCATCGACGATAGGTCTTTTCCAATTAGGACCGTCATCGTACAAATCGTAACAATCTAGCCAACTTAAAATTAAGATCTCGTTTTACATACACTTCCAATCGAAATGTCATAATAAAAGTCTATAATTAACTTGTAATTTAATTCTCATTCTTGCCGGTAAATTATAATATACCGATATTTCGATACCAATTGTGTGTAGTGTGCTGTAAATCGCAGTTGTAATATCGGCATCGGTATTGGATAAATTTCTACTTGTCAACACCAGCGAAAAAATTATTTGGCCGGCAACCACGCGGCGGAAGGTGAGTTGAGGCCGATTCAAGAAACAATTTATAACTTTAAAAAAGAGTTGTAAAAGAGCAACCTGCGAATTTACTGTACACAGACTGTGCATGCTTTGGCTACACCGCAGCAGTCGGTGCTTCACATTTTGCCTATCATCATTCACATCATTGTCGTCGTCAGTGACAATCACAACAAATTCCCAGTGCCATTTACAACTGTCACTGTCGTCGGACGGGCAATTCACTCGATACGCAAACCGTAGCAATAAACCGCTAAAACCGACCACAAAGAGTTTTCAACAAACGCACCGCACGATGGCAGACAACATCCAGTATTTGGATTTACCCGATAAATCGGCTACCGACAAGAAAGTCTACAAGTAAGTGCCCACTGCTCCACACATAAACTAATACACACACACACACGCACACACACATTGCATGAGTATTGTAAGCACATTTGCGAGCCAGCAGCAATTTCTGTTTTGTTTGTTTTCAATGCGTCGCTTGCGGCGTGGCTTTGCAACGTGGGCTTAAAAAGACGACCATAAGACTTTTGTTGAATGTGACATGAGTTGAATGCGGCCAATGGCGAAATTCTAAAAGTTTGAACCTATTCGCATTCTTTGTTTTTTGCTGATCCGCCTCACTCGATTCTCAGAGATCTT